GCTTGTTCAAATCAATAATTTTGCTGTCATTATTCACCTGGATGCTTGACCTGCATGTCAGTCAATTTTTCATCAAAACATTGTTGGAAAAGTAAAACATCACTGACTATGTGGGGGTATAAATATGGCCTCAGTTATCAGATTTGAACAAACTTTTGGAGTCTCTGCAGCTCTATAGTTAAAGGGGGCCAAACAAATACGCTGTAACTATTTACTACTGACAGGTTTCACAGATTCACTCAAATCTTACTCACTCCATTCGTCACTCAAATTTGTAGATAGAGAGTATCTTGCCTATATTAAGTCTAATTGACAATGCCAGATTAACAATTTGTTAGTATACTTATTAGTGTAAGTATCTTGCCAAGTGGTCTCATACTTTTGGATTGCACTCTTTATACACTACATTGACTACCACATTCAAATTCTAACTAAACTGTTATTTACTTTGATAGCACGAGGACATATGTGAGTTCCCATCAAATGAATTTTATAATGGAAACCTGAAAACTGGAGTGGAACAGCAGAGGAGTGTCTTTCAAGTTGACCACAAGACAAAACCCATTGTTTTTGGGGATGTCAAAGGAAAGACGATAAGTCTAGTTGTCAACACCGCCCAAGGCAACCAAAACTCTAAAGCTAATCTTGAAGAGAGAAACAAAGTGGTACAGTATTGGATGTTCTTTTGTTTCCTCTTAAACAGTAACATTTAAATATAAAAAAGCAAAAGTTACTGTAAAGCTACTGGATGCTCAACTATTTCAATTTGGTTCTCTTGCAGATTACCATTGCTGAAAAGCTAGTGAAGACTGCCAGAATTGCACAGCAAAGTATTGTGATTTTATCACCTTATAATGCCCAGGTGTCAGAAATCAGGAATGAGCTGAAGAAAAAGAAGATGGAACAAATCCCAGTTACCACGATCACAAAAAGTCAAGGTGAGCTACTCTGTTACCCAACCACAAAACCTTTCCTAAAGTTTCCTAAAGAGGAAAGGCTTCAGAATATGTTTCAAAATATAGTAAAATATATTTAGAATAAATAAAACATTAAAACTATATCAAAATGTAATATAAGATAAACAAAACATAATTTGGAAAAAAGCCAACAGAACAAAAAAACTGTTCAGTTTAAAAAAGACCCATGTGTTGTAGTTTGCAGTTTGTTTTGGAATATAAAAGCAAATATAACTGACTTCATTTAATTCAGTTGACATGGAATTCTTTTTCTGGGTATGATTCAGGAATTTCTCACAAAATCATGAAACCAGAAGAACTACAACAAAGGATAATAACTAGGAAATTGGGGGATTAGGATCAGTTTGCATAATAAGCAATACTCAAAAGTGTCAAAGGATAGACACAGGAAAAAGTCAGTTATGCTGTTTAATGATAGCAAAATATGTGACAACAGTCTTGTCTTTTAGGAAGTGAATGGCGTTATGTCATCTTATCTACAGTGTGCTCTCTACCAAATGAAGAAATTGAGAAACAACCAGAAAGAAGCTGGCTTTCCAAACATCTGGGCTTTGTTGGTGATCCCAATCAGATAAATGTAGCCATCACCAGGGCCAAGGAGGGACTCTGCATCATTGGTGAGATAATGCAGCTGTGCAGATCTGTTCTTAAGAATTATGCAGACGTTGCTGAGCTCCTAATATACAGTTGTTTAAGAAAATCACTCTTGTTTACATTATTAATTGAGTTGTGGATTTTTTGAAATTACTACCACTGTCATATTCCTAACCTAGTTTCACTGAATAACCAATAACGATTATTTTAAAGCATGTTTTAAAACATTTTGGTAATTAAAACCTAAAATGTATTCAGTTATAAATATAATTTATTATTGTGTAGAGTAAACTATTCAATTCTTCATTATTGATACTCATATGTCATAATAAGTTTTAATTTTAAACATTCACAATGCTACTTGTACATGGCAAATACCTCACCTGAGTAAAAAGTCTGACTTTGGTGCGTTGTCTGCAATTTGTAGGCAGCTTGTATGCAGGAGGCCATATTAGCAGTTGTAGTCTTGTTTCATATTTGCTTTTTGGGTGGTAAATGATGATGCAAATCAGCTGTATTGCCACTGTATTTTTGGCGAGACGTTTTTATACAGGTCAGTTTGATGACCAGATCATTATCTAGTTTTCAGCATCACTTTTTAAAAGTGGATGTTTCTAAATTCAGCAACATTACAAAGATGAACGAAGCAGTCTCTAACATGTGTCTATTGTTTCAAAGGTGACCAAGAATTGCTCATGTGCAGTCCAACTTGGAGACATCTCTTGAACCACTACACTCTTCACAATGCAGTGACAGGTGCAGACAAGATTTCAGTGTGTTCAGCCACCTGATTGATTCTGTGCTTTGTGAAGTTTGCAGCAGCAGACCAGAGCTCCTACGGGGAAGCTAGTACAATTTTATGATTTTTTTTATGTCATTAGTTTTCTTCTTTTTTTTCAGTTCTGTTTTTAAGTTTATATTGGAAATATTTCTTTTATAACATTCACCTTACTCATTTGAAATATGAATAGTAAGTAGGAAATCCTACAACACTTCATTACATGAATTGCAAATATTGAATTTTGTATCACAGTGGATATTTCAGTTGTGTATCGCTAGCAGGAGACTTGGCATGTTATTATAGATCTTTTAAGTTAATTTAGGTATACTTGAGCTGTATGAACTATCAAATTGTCAGTAGTTCCTGCTTATTGATGAATTATTTTGTTTTCTTACCTGAAACCTTGGTTTAGCACTTAAACAGCCTCACCATTCAGTGAGCCTGTCACTGTTTTTAAGGAAATATTATAATATTGCTTTTTTTTCGTTTTACATTTTTTTATATTGTATCTTCAGGGATCAGCTTTAGCTGGAATTTTGGACCAAAATCCTGGTTGTTTGTTGTATTGTTGTATGTATTGACATGTGTAAATTATAAGTTTGAATTTAAATGATATTGCTCCTTTATACCATGTTTCACATTGAACTTCAAATATATAGTGTAATAGTAATAATGCTCTCAAATTGATCAATATTCACTGTGGGTTTTGTCTTTGATTGGCTAATGAACTGTATTGAATAAATAATTAATAAACTGCTCAAAAAAAATGTAAACACATCCAAACTCAATCATGCTGGATATCTTTGGTGATAAGGACTGTTAAAAATGAAACAGTGCCACATTTATTTTGATGGAAATTAAAATCATCAGCTTACAGAGGGAAAAATTCAAAGACATCCAAAAAATAAAAGTAAAAACAATTTGCATGCTAGTCCATTTTGCCAAAGTTTCATAGAGCCACTCAAAATGGTACTCAAAATAGTGTGCCTGACAACACTGTCAGGCACACTATTGAGCCTGACAGTGCTTTGTAATGAGCTTTTTTAAAAGGAAAAAAGCTCATTACAAAACAAAGCTTCTTCGTTAGCCCTCATGCCATCTCTTTTCAACACCAAAAATATTACTCAAGAGGACAGCAGCTGAAATATGAAATCCAAAGATTCTGAACTGATCGTGCCCTGGGGGATCTCCTCCCAGACTTGTATCAGGGCATCACTGAGCTCCTGGACAGTTTGAGGTAGCATTGGATGGCCTGAAACATGCTCAGATGAGTTTGGGGGCCAGTTGGTGATATCAAATTCTTCATCCTCCAAGAACTGCCTGGATAGTCTCACCACATGAGCCTGGACATTGTCGTGCATGACCTATGCCACCAGCATAGGGTCTCACAATGGGATTTCATCCCCATACTAATGGCAGTCAGGGTTCTGTTGCCTAGCCTGTAAAGGTCTGTCCCTGGATATACCGCCCCAGACCTACCACCAAACCAGTCCTGTTAAACAATGTTAAAGGGAGTATAATAAGCTCCCAAGCCCTTTTGATGTCTGTCACATGCACTCGGGGTGAACCTGTTCTCATCTGTGAAAATCACAAGGTGCCAGTGGTGTACTTGCCAATTCTGGTATTTTATGACAAATGCCATTCAAGCTCCACAGTACAGGGCAGCTCACTAAATGACACCAGGCCCTCAGGCCACCCTTGTGAAGTTTGCTTCTGATTGTTTGGTTAGATATACTGTATTTAAACCAGCCTGGGTCACTTTGTAACTCTGGTGCTCCTGTGTTGCTTCTTGCACAAAGAAGCAGACACTGGTCCTACTGGTGGGTTAAGAACCTCCTATGGCCCTGTCCAGCTCTCCTAGAGTAACTTCCCATCTCCTGGAATCCTCTCCATGCTGTGCTGGACACACAGCAAACAATGACAATGAAAAAACTGCTGGAAAAGATGAGGAGAAAATTGTCAGTGGCCTCCACCATTCCTCTGTTGTGGGTTTCTTATCCTTGGCATATAGTGCAAGGATAAGAATAGTGGTAATTTCATTAACAACAAAGCAGCTGAAACTGATTAATAACCTCCTCTAATACAAAGCTTAATTGACTTGATGCTATACTCAGATTAACAATGTAGTATATATGGAAACGCTTCGAGCAGAGAACCCATGTCAGTACAAGCTTCAGTGTTTCGCAAAGCTTAATTTGTCCCTTACTGCAGTGCAATTTCAAGACAGCTGCGATCAACTCTCCCACTTTTCCTTAAGGATGACATTTTTATCCAGGTCATGGACGGGGATGGAAGTATGCCTTCAGCGAGGGACACGCCCACGAAATCATCTATTGAAATCATGCAGGAGGATTAGAAGCCAAGAAAATATAAACAATCAATCTAAATGTTAAACAGATGTTTAAACAGAAATTAAATTTTCTGTTAATATCAGCAAATTAAATATTTACAACATGCATAATTCATAATTCAATACAATTTAAGTACTTGCAGGGCCAGTCACCTTTTTCCATGTTCACTGTGACATTAAGTTTTGTAGCTACAACACCAATAGTAAAATTCTCACGGAAGCAACGGAAAAAAAGGAAGTGTGTGTGTGTGTGGAGAGAAAGGGACAGACTGTTATGTAACGCAGGCCTTGCCTTTTATTGTGAAGGCCTTTGCCGGAAATGCTTAGTGTTTCCTCACTGTCGTTTCTTCCTGTTTGTGTTTCGTGCGATATCGTCCCACATTGCTGTGAAAGTTTTCTGTGTTCTCTGTAGAAAGGTGACGAGACACACGGGAACTGTTGCTGGAAAAATGTGACCGTTTTTGTTGAAAGGATGAGCGATTGTCGCGCGGACACCGTCGGTGGGGATAACTGGCGGAGACGTACAAGGAGTGCGCGAGCGTGCTGCAGACAAACCACCGAAGCGGGAGTTGACGAGTCCAGCGTGCTTCGGTGTCTGAACGTGGGAAACACGGAAGAGGACCATGACATGGAGGAGGACACCAGCCTCTTCAAGCAGGACGGTCTGGAGCAGAAGGTCATGGCGCCCCGCTATAGTCTGCTGCGGGAGGTGGGAAGGGGAACGTACGGCGTGGTGTACGAAGCTCTGGCCCGGAGATCGGGTGCTAAAGTTGCTGTAAAGAAACTGCGGTGCGACGCGCCGGAAAACGTGGAGCTCGCCCTGCAGGAGTTCTGGGCGCTAGCAAGTCTAGAAAAAAGGCATCAAAATGTTGTTCATCTAGAGGAGTGCGTGCTGCAGAGGAACGGTATGGCACAGAAAATGAGTCATGGAAACAAACTGTCCAAGCAGTACCTGCGCCTGGTGGAGACATCATTAAAAGGTGGGGGTCGCTCTCGCTTAGCCCTACAGCTTTACCTGTTTGAGCTGAAATTAGATAAATTGGATAAAAGATGTGTTCACAATTAGTGCCGAAATAAAATAGCATCCTAGGTATTAGATAGTTGTGCTGTGTAGCAACATGTTTTGCTTTTAGGTTAATGTAACCAAAATAAGAGGATTATTCAGTGTACTTTTGACTTTACGTTCTAAGGACGGGGCACTGCGTCAGATTTAGATATGGATTTGCTGCTTGTGCCACGGTTTTGTCATATTTTGCTTCAATTACTAATCATTGGGGTTCATTAGTTATCAGTTTCAGTTCTGGCTTGGTCACAATTTGGATCACTGGTGACCTGATTGTTACCCAGAGAAGGCTGTTTAATCTTGCTGGTTTTACTTTTTGTGATTCGTGCCTTGTGCTGGCCTGTAGCCATCTTTTAAAGGCCCATAATAAGGTTCTTATGCTTGCAAAGGTTAGTTTGGAGGGTTAGCTTTGTCATTATAGCACAGTTGTTTTTGTCGCCATGACACAGACTCGCTGGGGGATGGGTAGATTTTGACACACTAAAATGGAGTCTGTTGCGTTGCTTGTGTTAGAGGTAATTTTCACATTCCACTCACAATCCGTGCACTTAAGACAAGTTTACACTTACACCGTTTTTGCTTTGTTGGTTTAGCCTGTCTCGGTGCCATCACCTCCCTGGCGATGCTTTCTTTAAACGCACAGTGACAATGTTATCTTAGGACAGTTTATCTCAGGCCCACCAGTCATTGATTGGTAGGTTTTCTCAGAAGCAGTGGCTTTTGATATGTGTATTAACATACACCACATCTGTTCTTCTTTCATAAGTGGGGGGGGGGGGGGGTGTGTAGATATGTCTCACCATTTACTTAGTTTACTTATGTAACAAGTACAAAAACCCCATCAAAGATTATTGCCTCAAGAAGATCAAAGAAGACGTGGGCAGTTTGCCTTGGATTAAAAACTGAGTTATGGGGCGATCGTGGCTCAAGAGTTGGGAGTTTGCCTTGTAATTGGAAGGTTGCTGGTTCGAGCCCCGGCTTGGACAGTCTCGGTTGTTGTGTCCTTGGGCAAGACACTTCACCCGTTGCCTACTGGTGGTGGTCAGAGGGCCCGGTGGCGCCAGTGTCCGGCAGCCTCGCCTCTGTCAGTGCGCCCCAGGGTGGCTGTGGCTACAATGTAGCTGCCATCACCAGTGTGTGAATGGGTGGATGACTGGATGTGTAAAGCGCTTTGGGGTCCTTAGGGACTAGTAAAGCGCTATACAAATACAGGCCATTTACCATTTCTTTACAAAGTATTTATAAAATTTATTAACTTTTGTTTTTCTACAAGAAAACATAAGCTATAGACTGGTTGTTCAACACCTTTTTGACACTAATTCTTAGTGACATAAAATATTCCCACAGTGTACTGGTAACACATTTTCTTGGTAAGTGAAAGGTTTAATTTCAGGCAGAGACGCAAATCCCCTTTGGGGTTGCGTCAGGAAGGACAGCAGGCATAAACTCTGGCAAATCAAACTACGTGACAAGGGAAGCATCTAAAAGTAGGTTTTCCTAAAGACATGTATAACATAGACTCGATAATACACAACCACTTAAAAGAGAGTACAAATAATGTAGCAACTTGTCAGTACAGCATAGAGCAGGGCGATATGACCAAAAATATTTATCACAATATACATTTCAGGGCTCTCAAAATTTCAAAATTCCTGGTAGCCCTTCGGGCAGGGACTCTTCAGTTTTTGGTAGCCCAAAATACATTTAAGTAGCCCGAATAAAAAAAGAGAGCAATTTTTTGATTGATGTTTTGTTTCCTGTTTTGTTTCCGTTATAATATTATACATTAAAGTATAATATTGTAACGGAAACAAAACATTAATCAAAAAATTGTTGAAACACAAATTACAACATTGTATAAAAATTACAATCATCAACTCAAATACTTGGTTCTAATTGAACAGAAATTTCTATGAACTTGTAAGAACTGTGTAGTAGGGCTGCTCGATTATGGCAAAAATGATAATCACGATTATTTTCACTGAAATCGAGATCTCGATTATTTGACGATATTTATTTAACAATAACAATGTATTGAATAATGACTTTAAAGACTGTCAAAAAATAATATAAAATAGTGTGAAAATACTGATAACAGTGCAAATGTTTGCAATATAAAAAATAAATGAAAAATGTAAACATCTGTTTAGTGAACTTTGCAGTGTTGCTCTGTGGTGCAGCTACGACACTGTAGCAAAGTTTACACACTATGTCTACTTGATCCACGTCTGTTTTTTTTTTTCTTTTTTTTACCTCTCTTTTCAACCAACGGCAGTCACTCTCCTCTCCAAATAACTTCTGCTTAGCTTTCCGAGCTTCCCTCGGGTCCTCTTGTTGTGACACGTGTTCGAAATGCAGAGAGGTGCGCTCGATTTGCCACACGGAGCAGCGCGAGAGTAAAGCACGAGGGAGGGGCTAATAATCGGCTCAGTCATTTTTAATGATCGTTGAAAGCCCAGATCGTAATCGTGATTAAAATTCAATTAATTGAGCAGCCCTACTGTGTAGGACATGAATCAGTCTGTGTCAGATCCTGAATTTGAAATTTCCACTGAAGTCACGGGTAAGAGACAAGTGGAACCAAGATCGAGGCCATTTGCTTTTTGAAGTTTGCAAAGACTGCTAAATTTTGCCAGTGGTAGTTCACTCTTTGCAACATAGTACGCTGTTCTAAACAGATTTTTCAGGTTTATTTTTAGTAATGCATTTCTCATGGATTCTAATGGGGGCCTTTTTTTTAATTACTGGTCCCAAAGGCGCTTGTCGATCGAGGGAAAACCAACAACACACCCGGCATTCGTTGTCAAAATAAGACGCCAGATAAGAAGTTGCAGCGTGCGGGACGTCGGGCTAGCGATTTTGCGAGCCCTGCTTTTGGAAATTTGCGATAACGATATAACTGACGATATAATTGACACTAGACAAAATACTCCACAACTTTATTTGTGCAAAAAAAAAAGAAACCCCATTAATGTTTTTTCACTTAAACAAGCAGCTGTTTTTTATGTGCATTAAAGTTCTATAAATAAATAAAATGTAACAGTGCAAATTCCTTGCTGACAGTTTAACCAAAAGGCATTTCCAGTGGAAACTGGCCGACATATCTTCAGCATAACCATGTATAATATCCACAAAACTTAAAAAGAGGTTATACACACACAATACGGTAATATTATGTTGAAGCACAGTACATGTCACTGCGCGAGGCTCCTGCCTACGATAGTCCATCAAGCAGTGCGGCTTAGTAGCTTAGCAAAGTCATACTAAAACATTTGACAGATTTTCGAGCGCCGTGTACATAAAATCGTTTCAAGGTGAGAAAGCACAACCAGAATTCATACATAAGGCACACGGGATTACACTGTCAATTTTCAGAAAAATCAAAGGATTGATTTTAAACGTGCTGTGTGGTAATAACGACGGCCCGCTAGCATGCTCTACCAAAAATTGTGGTTTGTTGTGTATCTGACGGGCGAAAGATAAACCAGTTCCACACCACCGAAGTTGCAGCATTTTTACAAACCAATTCTGGTTCATCTGTTTCATTCAACAATCCGCTTTCGCCCTTCACATTCTCTGTCGCCGCTATGCTTTTTCCACCATGTGTGCATGAAAACAAAGGCACTGCGCAGGCGCATTTTACCCATATTCTATCGCGATATTCCTCTTTCTTATCGTTGCCTAACATTTTACCGGTATTAATGTGAACGGTATGATATGGGCCAGCCCTAGTACAGCATACCCTGTTTATCATACATCTGGACACTTACGAGGACCATAACTTGCAAAGGGATCATTCAATTCAATTCAATCCAATTTTATTTATATAACGCCAAATCACAACAACAGTCGCCTCAAGGCGCTTTATAATATACAGCAGATTATACAATAACAGATACAGAGAAATTATAGCCAGCCAGTGCAGCAGCCCCAACATGTCAGTAAATTTGACATATTTTGCTGCGTCTATTTCTGTAATTCAGTGTCAGTAATGAAAATGAATGCACATGCTGCTGTCAGTGCTGTAGCCTGTATAATTATATCGACAAAGGAAAATAAAAATATATTCTTCAGCCGACCAGAAAAATCCCCAGTATGCTAGATTACCAGTGCAGCCCTGTATATAGACCTTTTGTAGATTGTGTACAGTGTGTATCACTGCTAGATATCAGTAGATTACATTTTCAGCCAACTGCAGTCAAAAATGTAATCAAACTGTTTGTCAGAGGGAAACTGAGTTTTAGCACAATGTCGGGAGTAAATAAGGATTTTTATGGACATAGTGTGTGTGTGTTAGAGCCCTGATTTCAATTTAGGAGATGAGTTTTGAGGTGAAGTGGAGGAAAGCTGTGGAGGGGGCAAAATGAGAGGGAGATAAAGAAAATCATGTTAAATGGTCATATATAATTTGAATGGGGCTGCAATGATTCATCGAGTGACTGGAGTATTTCTTATCCGATTACTTGAGTAATTGATGACTCATTAAATTACTCGATGACTAACGGTTTCCCATCTGTAGAACTGGAAGTCTTTTTGCACATCGAGATGCCTGCTGGCCATTAAAATGAATGCAGGTCTAAGGCACTTCGTCATACCACATACACATCACTTTGGTAAACTGTGTCATTCTACATTTTTTTTCTCTCTTTTTTTAAATCATTTTTGTTTTTACTGTCTATCTGATAAGTGTCTCGCTGTTACAGGTGAGAGAGTGCTTGGCCCCCCAGAGGAACCTTGTTACCTGTGGTTCGTCATGGAGTTCTGCGAAGGAGGAGACCTCAACCAGTTCATCTTATCTCGGCGACCCAACCCACGAACAAACAGCAGCTTCATGCTCCAACTAACAAGTGCTGTTGCTTTCCTGCACGAAAACAATATTGTTCATCGAGATCTCAAACCTGACAACATCCTAATTTCAGAGAAATCAGGGACTCCAGTTCTGAAGGTAGCAGACTTTGGCTTGAGTAAAGTTTGCGCTGGTTTAGGAAACACCAGTGAGGGAAAAGACTGTGAAGACAAGAACAAAAACGTCAACCTCAACAAGTTTTGGTTGTCGTCTGCTTGTGGCTCAGACTTCTATATGGCTCCTGAGGTGTGGGAGGGCCACTACACAGCCAAGGCTGACATATTTGCCCTGGGCATCATCATCTGGGCCATGCTGGAGAGAATTACTTTTATTGATTCTGAGTCTAAGAGGGAGCTATTGGGTACCTATGTGCGACAGGGAGGTGACATTATGCCTGTTGGTGAGGCACTTCTCGAGAATCCAAAGATGGTACTGAGCATCCCACAGAAACGCAGGTCATGTATGTCAGATGGAGTGAAAAAGCTGCTTCAGGACATGCTCGCTGTCAACCCTCAGGACCGACCAGATGCTTTTGAGCTGCAAGCCAGAATGGACCAAGTTATGTGTACTACATGACCCTCAGCCATACTGTTCTACAGGTACACGTCTCGTTTTAATCACCCTCCAGCATTCTGTTTTGCTGACGGTTATTCTGCCTTCAGTTTGTCTGCTAGTACTGTTTGTATTGTTTAGCTAACAGCATTCCTTGTCCAGATTTGCTCCCTCTGCTGAGTCAAAGTGAATTGAAAAGAAAAAAATCGATCTGAACTCATTGTACATTACTGCTATCTGAAATGTTCAGCCTGCTCTGTAATGTACTGGAGAAGTATCATATGAAGTAACTTCAGATCATCCTTTAGACTGAGACAGTTTGGGGAATTTCTCTAAAGCATTGCCAATGCTATGTCAATACTACTTCATATGAAATCAAGATATTATTGTGGTTTAACATCAAATATGCTTAGTATTGACTGCACAGGTTTTATTTGATGTTGAGGACCAAGAAAATGGAAAACTAGCAAAGGAACCAGCCGCCAAGGAAAAGTACAAGATAGGAAGGCCTTGGGCTACCTAATTAATTCTTAAACTTATTACTAAATATTATTTAGTCAATATTACTACTGAATTTTTTTTTATTCACTAAGTACCTTCTGACAGAAAAGTGGGAAATATCACCAGCCGATCTCCAGTAAGTCTCTTATTCTGTAAAGGAATAGAACCTTCCAGTCTTGAACTGCAGCTCGCCCCAGTGGTAATTGCTCAGTACATAAACCAGTCTTCCACCTGCTGCAGCTTCTGTAAAGACAGGCATACACTGTGTGACTTTTTTTTTTTTTTTGGCCCATTTTGAGACGATTTTTCACCTGTGTGTCGTGCATCGTGTAGTATACATGGGGTAATGAGAGGCGATTAAGACCTCATGACCATCTCCCGATCAACGGTCGTATGGTCACAAGAAAATCAAACCTGTTTGAAATCCTGGTCACCCCTCGTGAGGGTATCTCACTGATGAAGCAGTGTCACAAGCTGATTTAACGCAACCTCTCACGCTGCGCATGCGCAAACACAGAAATAGAAGTGAAAAAGACAGAGCAGCATGGCAGTGCAGTGTGGGATCTGGACACAGATTGCCGTCTCCCCACTTCCGGGTTCCTCTTACATTTCCGGAAACAAGAACACCACGTGTTGTGTATGGACGCACACTGTGAGCAATCAGGTTACATCAGCACGTCGGGCATATAGTGTGAGAACATGCATTATGAGCTACGAACTTCTAACTCCTGCGATTCAGTCGCACAGTTTGAGCAGGAGCTGAATAACGCGACTGAAAAAATCGCAGTGTATGCCCAGCTTAAGAGTGACCCTCCAGCTCACTGTGGATCTCCAGAGCAGATCAAGTGCTGCAGTCCACAAAGGTGGAGACTGAGAGTTATCATTCCATAGGATGATATGATTTTGGTCAAGTAGCTGAATGATATAAAACACCAGTGCATCAGCAACCTAGCCAGCTAGCCAACATAGAGTAAAAACCATAGACAGCAGAAAAAATAAACACAGACTGTTCGATATGACTCCACATGAACAACTGATTGCATAAATCCACACAAACTCTTGACATCTGGTGGCCTTCAGGTTGGCATTTCCAGCTTGGTCTATGGTAAATATAGAGTAGCATCAAAGGTAGCTAGTTAGCACTTTTCAGTTGACTGAGGTGGATCATCCACTAGTAAACTTATGGTGTCAATAATAAGTTGCCATATGTATTCAGGAAAACGGTCCAAGTAAAGTGTGTTTGGGGAAGCCGTGCGTTGTATATCAGGCCAGTAAAGTATGGAGACAAATTTGCCTCACAAAGGTAGCAAGTACATATGATATGATCCACAAGGGTAAACTAAGCCTTACAAATGTTCTGTGATTTATGTGTAACATTTAAGGACTCCCGCATGTGCTTCAATCCATGCAAAGATATGAAGCAATTTGACCACATGTAAAACTGTTTTACTAATGCATATATCCAAACCTGAATCAACAATGATCATGTACGCAAAATTTATGACGTTCAACTCATGAATCTGATCATTTTCTTGATGTATGCATTTGTAAAAGAGTTTTACATGTTGTCAGATTGGTTCATATTTGTGTGTGGATTCCCTACTTTACTGGCCTAATATACAGTGCACGGTTTCCCTTCTCAAGGATTGTTCTGTCTCCAGCCTTGGTGGGGCTGTTCTCATATTGTTCCCTTGCCACTAAGAATACACCTTGGATGGTTCAGTGGAGAACAGCTGGTTTATTCTCCTGGCTTCTGTTCCTATATCTCTTCGCTTTGCAGTTTTCAAAGACTCCGGTATGGGCAGTTTGCTGTACTTCTTAGGCATCCCTTTCTTCATCACACTTCTCTACATTACAGATAGTTGGCTGCCTTCCCAATGTGTTGCCTTGAGCTTATCTAGTCTCCTCCTCCATGTAGAGTACTACTGCTTTTGGCTGTTCATCTTGTAGCCAAGCATCTGAAGGACCACTGCTGTATTTCTTTTAATATTGGCTCTGCCCTGCTGTCAAATTAAAGAGAAAATCGGATCGTCTTCTGAGAAACATCTTTGGATCGTCTATTGCTGCCTACCTGTGCTTTAATAACAATCTATATTATTCATATGAGAATTCTCATTTCTGTTTCAATCTGGTTCCTGTACGTTATTTGCCTCAAATTACATTTGAGGTGTGAGCTACTGGGACCTATTATACAGAATTAATTTATTTGTAATAGTGGGCGGGGCATTTGTTTGTGTAGTGCCTACATACTTTATTTAGTGACTGGACTCTGGATATTTGTTCTCACATGTATAAATGCCTGTGTGTATTGTGGTGGTGCTAACCAAGACCACTGGTTGAGTGACCAAAGCCCCAGTTATCCTTTGACCTCTGAGCCACAGATGGCTGGTTATAAAGGGAGCATGCATTCCCTTATTGAACATGGTCAGTGCACATGATGGGTGAGCGTTGTATGCCGTGACTGTACAACACACTATGCTTGTGTTTGCCATTGCATAATGTGACATTGGGGGGTGGGGGCACTACAAACCCAGCTGACCTCCGGTCTCTTGCTCTGCTTTCTTCCTCTAAGTGTTGTGAAGACTCCCACCACCCCTGCATGCATTGTTTCAGCCATCCCCCGCTCATCTCCCTGCACGTTTTCCATGCTGAGCAAGACTGTCATGAGTTCAAATGGGCTGACTCATTTACAGTTTAATAATTAATATTTATGCAAGTAAAGTCACGAGCACAGATTTTTTTTTCTGCAGTGCGAAATTTTGCATCATTGGATAAACATCAGAGAATGCGTATATGTTTGTTTTTCTTCATTGCAGTCACCGCATGCTCCTTTCAAGGCTAACACACATAGTGATTCACTAGAGTCAAACACGCAGATACGCATGCACAAAAACACATGAATACACACCAAATCTCCAACATCCAGAAGACACAATACTGTCAGTTATTTTGTCTCCTACTAATGTGAAAACAACAAGAAGAAAGAAAGGAAGGGTAAAAGCTGCCAGTATTTTTGCATTTTTATGTGCGTGATGGTGTGCTAGTTGTTCTTCAGCAAGGAAGGAGGGACAAGAAGACTTGTAGAGGTTTGCTGACCCAATAGGTCTGGAAGAATTGCAGCCTCAGTGTGTACAGAGATACGAGAGAGAGATGGTATTTGTTCTGCTGACATCCTAGTTAACTCTCTTTGGCTTAGCTACAGTTCACAATGACCTAAAAATCACCAAATATTCATGTAAAGGTAAGCTCTCCATCACACAATTGCTCCAAAAGGTAGTCCTGTGTGATGAGCGTTTTGAGTATACAATAAACCTGTTCTGAATAGTATGTTGCAAAGGGTCTGTCAGATTCTCGTGTTGCATGAAGCAACACTCATAAGTCAGCACTCATTATCAATGCGTATTCAGATTGCAGGATGAAGCTCCAAGTCCCTGTTAAAGCTATCTAAGTCACTTATGTAACAGTACAAGTGGAAATGCATGACTGCATAACTGGGTGCAGTCTGCAGGGAAAGGCGTAATGGTTAAGTCACATTTAACAAAGGGCCTGTTTGTGCTGCAGAATTCAGCAGAGTTTTTGGATCCTCTCAGCTCTACCATAAACACATCTGTGCTGTCTGCCATGCTGCCACATATTTTTAATGTGTGAATATGACCAGGGGATGCAAGGTTTTTGGGAGCTGATCACATAAACCAGGTTTTCACAGATTCCTTTATTTGACCACCATAATGTTACATTGTCATCTCTGCCAGCGATTTGGGGTTGGTCTGGCTGAGATGGATTCTTTTATGATATACCCTGGGATCTGCCAAGTCAAACGTTTGTTTTGTCTTGACTCTAGAGTCAGCTTACTCACTGTTCTTGTAGGTTACAGTATTGATATTCACTCATTTGATATACTGCTGACTTTGCCCTTGAAGATATTTCTGTGTAATTCAGTTTACATTCATTGTCCATCTGCTGGAAGCAAATGTGTGAATTGCTTAACGTGTGTGCAGTCTGCTGTGGGCATTGCTGTAATAAATTTGGGAGCTATTTACTGCAACAGGTACTGATTCAGCACATCTGCTGCTCTTTTCACATACTCGCCACTGCACATAGATCAGCCTTGTAGAATGTATGTCACTGAGGTCTGTCCAGCTGTCTCTATGCCATACATGTTTTTCTGAATCTGAACACCTGGCACCGATCTGAAATCCTCCAGGGGACAAGGAAAACACTTTTTAAACATGTTATTATTTTTAATGGCAGATGTGCTGCTACCAAACAGAAATGTGTCAGGAGAGAAGCAGTGTGCAGTTTGATCTTTTAACTCCAAAAATCAGCTAAGATTGACACGCTTTGTTAGAATATTTGAAGTCACAAATGTGTGTTAGACAGATGTCACAAGGCCCCGAGGCACATGAGGCACATGCACATGGCCTCTAGTGAGGTCAGCTGCCCATTGCCTCTGGTCGATCCCAGCAACAGTCGCCTGGGATTTGGTGCTGTATAAATAAAATTGAATTGAATTGAATTGGTTCTTTGGGACTCTCGTCCTTCTGCTGGGTTGGATACACAGTTGTTGCCAAAATGTGTGGTCTCAGGTCTTCTCAGGTACTCTTTTGGGCTATGGATGGCCCGATCTCCTGGATCTATCTCTGTCTGCCTTTGGCTCCTGGGGATTGTTATTGCAACTAGCCACCCTTGTAATCAAGTACATTTTGTAATTTCTCTCTCTCTCACACACAGTCAAGGAACTTTGGCACAATGGTGCATTCAGATCATAATTCTGATAGCAAAATGTGCCAGACATTACAGGGTTTTTTTTTTAATTTCTAACTTTATAGCAAATGAATTTATCCTCTGTATTTGTAATATAGGACTTTAGAAAAACAAAACAAAAACTTTGTCACTTTGTCCCAAGCTTGTCCACCTCCATGTCCCACGTGTAATAAACCAAAGGTTTTGTGCATCTGTCTGCTTGTTCACTGGTTCTCCTGCTTCTTTGCAGATGTGTGTTGCTGTCCAAAGCTGGTGCGTCTGCCTTCATTCAACCTGAAGACTGTGAAGATAAAGAAGTAAAGAGCAGTTTCTCCTGTAATGTAGATGGGATCATAATTCTTTTGCTTGTTAGATTAAATTCATTTGCCAGTGCTACTGATAAATGATTTGTTTCATCTTCACGATGGGAATAGATGGAACGGATAAAAGAGATGCAGCAACATTTTTCATTTCACACTTGACTTGAAATGGCGACACTTTGGTCGCCAGCCTGGAACTCTGATGATATTTAATGAAAACACTGTGATGTAAGATAAAAACTGCTGCTGGAAAATTTTCACTTGATGCGGTGGAGCGTGTGTGTGAATTTTTTCGTTTTGTTTTGGGGGT